CACCACTCCCCATCAGAATTTAGGACACTGAGATATTTAAAAATTGGGATATTTCGCATCAAAATAGGGGTTTCTACCTTTGGAAAAATCAGGAGATCTAGCAAATAAGGAGTCCGCATTGCTTTAGGTCAACCATCTTCTGCAGTGGAGACCTTCACACAGGAAAGCACGTCCAGCTCACCGTAGTCCTCCTCACTCCCCAAGATGGTGCTCTTGTACTGTTGTTCCCTTATCCCCACGTATTTCTGCACATTTGTGTTACTAGAGTTTGAGTTTGCAACCCCTAATGGAGAACAGAGCCTCTAATTTCTATACCAGCGGCCTAGGATGATAGAGTGAGTTGCCCAGGACACAAAGCCTGGAATGGCATAGCCGAGTCTGCAGTCAGGGTCTCCTGGGACCCAGTTATGATTGAAAACATCTCTCGTGGACATTTACAAACATTGCTAACCCCATTGCTCCCAGGGCCGTGAGCTGCGGTCACCTGGGAGCATCTGAATGTTGCTGACACCAGGCTGTGTTTGTGGAACTCCTGGACGGGCAGGGAGATGCCCAATAGGCTGGGCGCAGCGGGAGCCCCTGACCCCGGGCCCTGTTCCCACGGGGAGCGGAAGTCCCAGCGGTTGAGGTGAGAATGTGAGGCTGCCCTGGGTGGGCAGAGGCAGCCACAGACAGCTGCAGCAGGCTGGTGCCAGACCCAGATGTACTCTCTTCACCCTTTCTGCAAAATTGCTGCCATGTGCAGAAATATAGAAACGTGCAAAATCTGAGAGCCAGCACTCAGGAGTCGGCCCCCACCCTCCTGTGTATGCAGGCGGCCCTCGTGACTCAGCCCCAGCCCAACCATGCACATCTTTCAGGCAACTCGGGGTTAAAGAGAGAGAGGTGTTTTTGATCCCCAGAGGGGTGGTTTGAGCAGGAGAGGAGAGGGAGGGGCCTCAGGCCTTGGCCAGCAGGTGGGTCTCGCCTTGGGAGGACGGAGGGGGGGGGGGGGGGGCTGCAATGCAGGCTGGTGGCCAAGCTGGCGGGCCAAGCGGGAAAGAAGCAAAGCCCCCATGGTGGTCTTCCTGGTCTGCCGTCCTCCTCTGTGTCCTCACTCTGCCAGCAACCCCTCTCCTCTTGCCCGGACAGAGCCCCAGCCCCCAGCCCTGGAAGTGTCCTGTCTGCTGTCTTTGTCCTCTGGGGCCTCTCCTGTCCCAGGGATGGCCCAGGAGAGTAGGGATGCAGCTACTGCGTCCCCAATACCTCAGGGCAAGTTTCCTCTGCAGCCTTCCTGTGGTCGTTATGCAGCCTAGGGGAGGACGGAGCGGGGAGACACCTGTGCCCACGGGGGGCCACCCTGCTCCCATGGCTCCCACTGGCACTCCTTTTCTGACAACACAGGCACCCACTCCCTCATCAGCATCCGAGAGGCAGTGTTAAGTCATGGCCCTCAGACCAGAGTGAATAACGAGAGACCGAGAGGTTGGCAGGCGGCTCCTTACCTGGGTCCCCCATAAGGGACAGCATAGTGATTCAGGACGTAGCTCTTCCCACCCGAGCTCACAGAGATGGTCCTGTTCTCCAACCAGAAGTCCAATTCCAAGGCTAGGGTCCCGATGTTGTCCCTGGGGTGGAGCCAGGCACCGCCTCAGCCCAGGCACGGCCCCTCAGTCGCACCCTGGGAGGTCCCAGGTAGGGCGGCCTGCGCGGCAGCAGGGGGGCTGGGGGGCCCACCGGAGGAAGGCGGTGTCGTTGGTGTGGGTCACGTAGCGGTCCATCATGAGAGTCAGGAGGGGGGGCGGGCTCCGCTGCAGGTAATACACGCGGGCCCCGTTGGGGACGTGTCCGTAGCTGCCAGGAAGGACGCGGGCTGAGGTGCGTCTGCCCAGCGGCGAAGGCCAAGGCCAATCCAGCGCCAAGCCCTTGGCACCCCCTTCTCCGCCCCAGCCTTGAGGGGCCCGCCCCCCCTTACATCCGCACCAGGTCCAGGAAGTTCTGCAGCATGCCCTTCACCGTCCCGGGCATCTCAGAGAGGAGCAGCCCCTCCATCACCCAGTAGGAGTCCCTGGGGAAGCGGACAGCTCGCGCACCGGCCTGTGCACCCGGGCCAGTCAGGGTGCCCCCCTCTGCTCGGGACAGCCCGCTGGCCCCGGGCTCCCCGACTCCCGGCCTGCAGGCCTGGCTGCTCACCAGTAGTAGAACTCCACGAAGCGCCCGCCAGGCACGATGAAGGGGTGTGCCGAGTAGATCAGAGAGAACTGCTCCGGGTGGCTGAGGACCTCTGGCTTCACCTGCAGTCGGGACAGGGGCACAGGGAGCCCACAGGCCCCGCCGTGTGGAGGCCCTGGCGGCCGGTGCATGCGTTCTGGCTCTGCTGCTGGTCAGCCGTGTGGCTTTGGTCAAGGCCGGAGCCGCCGCAAGCCAGGTCTGCTCGGCCCCACAGGCCGGCCTCTGGAGTCCCTGCTAACTCAGCCCGGCCCTGGCAGGGGCTCACCAGGCAGCGGCCAGTATCAGGACCAGGCAGGGGGACCGTTTCCTCCACTCCCGTTCCGCCATCTCTGCTGCCACCGCCCAGCCAGGCGCAGAGACCCAGGGCCCCCATCCTCTGGCCCAGGTGTGGAGTGTGAAAGTTAATGAAAGGAAACTTCATTTAGAATGGAGTCGGGAGGCCGGCAGGTGAACCTCTCCGACCCCACCACTCTTCGTCAATTGCAGACCCAAACTTTCAGGTGGATGCTACCTTATTATCCCGGCAAGAGGGGAAGGTTTCTTCCGCCCCAGCAACAGCCCAGCCAATGAGAGGCAGCCGCAGCTCAGCCAATGAAAAGCTACTGTACTCAGGGCGCCTGGGTGGCTCAGTTGGTTAAGCGACTGCTTTCGGCTCAGGTCATGATCCTGGAGTCTGAGGATCGAGTCCCGCATCGGGCTCCCTGCTCAGCAGGGAGTCTGCTTCTCCCTCTGACCCTTCCCCCTCTCATGTGCTCGCTCTCTCTCTCCCTCTCTCTCATTCTCTCTCTCTCTCAAATAAATAAATAAAATCTTTAAAAAAGAAAAGCTACTGTACTCAGAACTCCCAGTTTACTCCAGTGGACTTTTTGTTTATAACAGCCTTCCCAACATCCCCCTCTCCTCCATAAAAGAGCGCAACTCTCCGGGGTTGTGCGGCCTTGTCCAGGGTTTTCCGGTAGTTTCTTCCTTCTGTATTGCAGTTCTCTGCTGTTCCTAAATTAACCCATTTTTGTTGGCGAAATACCTGGCAGTTTTATTTGTAAGGTTATTTTTAACCCTAAACCGTTTGCCCAGTGAGGCAGACGTACATGATCGTGGTGTCGGGAGCGCAACTGTAGGACCACAGTGGGGCTTGCTCTGCCCCCCTGCCAGGTGTTTTCTCCGTTCATTGTCTCCTGGTTCTGTACCAGTGAGTGTGGTGTCAGAGGGAGAGGGGTCAGCTGTCAGTTATTTTGAGGGGAGTAGTGGAACAGAGCTTGGCTTTGTTCCTGTGGGGCTGGCTGGGTGAGGAAGCGGCCCGAGCTAGGAAGGAGCCTGGAGCACCACTCCGTGCCGGCAGGTGCCAGGGCCCTGAGGCCTGCCTGGGAGGACAGATGCTGTGCAGCCTTGTGCAAAACACTGCCCTCTCTGAGCCTGAGACAAAGGGCGGAAGTGTCTAACAGACTGTTGAGCACAGGTCACAATCAGCAGTGGCAGTTATTCCCAAGCAGAGGTTTGGCCCGGTTAGCTCAGGGAACAGAGAGCCCTGCTGGGGAGTGAACAGTTACCACTGGTGTAAGAGGCAGGTCGGAGTAGCCTGGAGGTGGCAGGACAGGCTGGGTGTGCCAGGGAAGAGGCTGTTGAGGGCTTCGGGGAAGAGGTGAAGAATTAGAAGTACTTTCACTTCTAACCCCCCTGCCCCTACCCCCCTGAGTTTCTTTCTAGAGAGCTGCAGTAGGATACAGGGTTGGGGCCTTCTGTCTAAACCTAGTTTCACCTCAGAGTATGCTTCCAAAGCCATGAATTACTGGAATTTGCAGAAATAGTGCTGGGCTGTTTTTTTTTTTTTTAAGATTATTTATGTATTTGAGAGAGAGAGAGCACATAAGAGGGGGAAGGGTCAGAGGGAGAAGCAGATTCCCTGCTGAGCAGGGATCCCAATGCAGGACTCGATCCCGGGACTCCAGGATCATGACCTGAGCCGAAGGCAGTGGCTTAACCAACTGAGCCACCCAGGTGCCCCTGTGCTGGGCTGTTTTTGAAGGCTACCTATGAAACGAGGAGAAAGGTGCCTGGCTTGACTATGACCTGGAACAGGGAAGGTCTTGGGATTTGTACCCATTCAGCCACACCTGTTTGGGGAACAGCTGCTACTCCTGGGTGTCGTGGATAAGGCCCTGAAATATCTGGAGGTGAGGGGGGCAGCAGAGCGGGCTGGTATACTGGGGGCAGGACCACCTGCTCTCTCCCTGAGTCTGAACTACGGACCTCTGGCAAGTGGCAGCCACCCCCTCCTGCCCCCACTCTGGGTCTGAGCCTGCGGGTCCCACTGGAGCCACTAGGGGGCAACTGTGAGCTAAAAAGACAGAAGCCCAGGAAGGGGGCCATCTGGCTTAAGGAGGACCCAGCCTCTTGGCTCCTCATCCAGCCCCCACCCACAGTCCTAGAAATGTCTGGAACCTTCTAGGACAGCCAGATCTTGACCTACCGGTACGGGATCCCGACCTCCCTCCGGAAAACAGGCCAGCAGTGGGACTTCCCCAATGCCTGGGCCCCCCTGCAGGACCTGGTCATCAGAGGTAGGGAGTAGGGAGGTGGGGATGGGGCATATCCCAGGGCCATCCCCCGCTTGCATCTGGAGGGTCCGCCCCCTGCTGCTGGGAAGGTGTGAACAAAGCACGTGGGGTCCTTCCCTGGCTCTTCTGGTCTCGTGGCTTCCCACTCGGCTGACCTTTGATAGAGGGAACCAGCCCTCCTTTCTCCCTCCAAAGCCAGGCCCTGGGGAAGGAGCACACTGGCTTTTCGTGTGACTCACGATGGAGGTCTTAGGGCCCGGGCCTCTTTCCCTCCTTGAGGAGAGTAAGGCTCTGGCCACCCCAGGGGACTCAGGAGATTCAGGGTCCTGCCTGGGGTGGGGTCTAGGTCTGGCCAAGTCTCCTTCACCTCGGGCCCAGGAAGTGGCTTTCCAGCTGGCTCAGAATTGGATCCGAACCAACTTTGAGGTCTACTCCCAAAAGTCAGCCATGTTTGAGGAGGTGAGCTGCTCCTGAGCCCAGAGCCTCCTGGGCTCCTCCCCACGGTGAGCTGGGGGGAGGCCAGGCTTCACCAAGCCCAGGGGCAGTGGGGACGCCCGGTGGCCATTCTTGGGCACTGCAGGGGTCAGAGCTGCAGGCCAGAGCAGCTTCTCCCAAAGGGGCTCCCATCTCTTGCTCCCCCTGGAGGGCTGAGGTGGGGGGCCTGGGGGTGGTGTCCCACCTTAGAGTCTGTCCTGCTGTTCCCAGTGTGACATCAGCACCGGTGGTCAGCCAGGGGGCGGAGGGGGGCATGACGTTCAGGCGAGTGGGCCCACACCCTACGGGGAACTCCAGGGCTGGCTGTGTTGTCCCCACAACCGCCCATGACCTCCCCTGTCCGGGCCTCTGTTTCCTCCCACGTATGTGGGTCCCCAGGGAGGAGGCTGACTGGAGCTCCTTTGCACCCCTGGGGCTGGGCAGTTCTCGGGCCTCTGGGTGGGGAATCTCACAGCCCCTAAAAGGATTTGGGGCCTCCCCCAGAGATCTTGCCCCACTGACCCTGTCTCTCTCCAGGAGGGCTTTGGCTGGACCAGTGGAGTGGTCCTGATGCTCCTGGACCGCTAGGGTGACCGGCTGAGCTCGGGGACCCAGACAGCTTTCCTGGAGCCCCCCCCCCCCCCCCCCCGCCTCACGGCTGCCCTTCTACTCAGCCTCCCGCTCAGCCTCCTGCCTCCTGCCACAGTGATGGGCCTCCCTGCCCCGTCTGCCTCATTAAACTTCTGCGTGAGTCCCTACCTTCGCCTGCCTCTTCATCTTCCATCCCCCACCCCCAGCCAGTCCTTGGAGTGGGGTCAGGGGAGGGACCTAGAAGTCATGGGTTGGGCCCTTGTTCCTCCTGGAACATCATTGTCCCTCCTGGAACATCAGTAAGGGGGACGTCCTGTTTTGTGGGGACACAATCCCATACCCCATGTAACCTGGCCTCCCAAACATGTAGTCCAAATGCTTTATTGTTCTGTTGAAGGGGTGTACAAATACTAAAAATCACCCAGACCTGGTGTCCCAGCTACAAGTGGGCCCCAAGTGCTGGGAAGGAGGACAGGGAGGTGGGATGAAACACCGCCTCCCTGAACTACCTTTCAAAAAAGTCCAAATTTGAACATACTAGTCTAGATCATCTTATGCCCCTGGGTACTTTGGAAAACAGTGCAGGAATACTGGCACTTATTTTGTGAGCTTTATGTGCGCAGAGAGGAAGGGAGCCCTGCAAAGACCACTGTCCTCCCAGGGTGAGAATATAAAAGTTGAGAGAATTGAAGGGATTGGGCGTTCTGTGTTACTAATTGGAGCTTTCGGTGCCACTTTCATGGATAGAACATCTAGACAGAAGATCATAAAGGAAAGAGAAGACCAGCACCATAAAACAATTAGACCTAATATATATAGAATTCCGTACCCAGCAACAGTAGAATACATAATTCTTTTCAAGTGCACATAGAACATTCTCCAGGGTAGATCATATGTTAGGCCACAAAACAAGTCTCAGTAAATTTTAAAAGATTGAAATTATAGAAAGTATCTTCTCCAACCATAATGGAATGAAGCTAGTAATAAATAACAGAAGGAAAACTGGAAAATGTGGAAATTGACACACTTTTAAGCAACCAGAGAGTCAAAAGAAGAAATCACAAAGAAGGGAAATAAGAAAATACTTACAGATGAATGAAAACAAGGAGACAATATACCAAAATTTATGGGATGCAGCAAAGGCAGTTCTCAGAGGGAAATTTACAGGAGTGTTTACATTACAAAAGATCTTAAATAAATAACCGTCTTTATACCTTGAGAAATAGAGGAAAGCAAGCTAAACCCAAAGCTAGCAGAAGAGTAAAGAAAGATTGAGCATAAGGAAATAATATGGAGAATAGAAAATCAAGAGAGAAAAATCAAATCAAAAGTTTCTTTGGAAAAAAAGAATAGATCTGTATTTTTAAATTTCTCTTTTTAGATTTTATTTATTTGACCGAAAGTACAAGCAGAGAGAGCAGCAGAGGGAAAGGGAGAAGCAGACTTTGCACTGAGCAGGGAGCCCGATCCAGGGCTGATCCCAGGACCCTGAGATCAGGACCTGAGCAGAAGGCAGACACTTAACCACCGAGGCGCCCCAAGAAAATAGATCTTTAGCTATGGAAAAAAATTGACAAAGGCCAAAGAAGGTACAAATAAAATCAGAAATGAAAATGGTGGGGCGCCTGGGTGGCTCAGTCATTAAGCGTCTGCTTTCCGCTCAGGTCATGATCCCGGGGTCCTGCGATCGAGCCCCGCATCAGGCTCCCTGCTCGGCGGGAAGCCTGCTTCTCCCTCTCCCACTCCTCCTGCTTGTGTTCCTGCTCTCCCTGTCTCTCTCTGTCAGATAAATAAAATCTAAAGAAAGAAAAAGAAAGGAAGAAAGAAAATGGAGACACTACTACAGACCTTATAAAAATAGAGAAAACTGAGAACATTGGATAACCACTACAAAATGTACAAATTCCTAGGAACACACAAATTACCAAATAGATGCAAGAAGAAATAGAAAATCTCAACAGATTTATAATGAGGTTATAATAAAAAACCACCCAACAATGAAAACTCCATGTGATGGTTAATTTTATGTATCAGCTTGGCTAGGCCAAGGTAACACAATATTTTTTTTTAATTTTTTTAAAGATTTTATTTATTTGACAGAGACACAGCGAGAGAAGGAACAGAAGCAGGGGGAGCGGGAGAGGGAGAAGCAGGCTTCCCGCTGAGCAGGGAGCCCGATGCGGGGCTCGATCCCAGGACCCTGGGACCATGACCTGAGCTGAAGGCAGATGCCTAACGACTGAGCCATCCAGGCACCCTGGTAACACAATATTTAGTCAAAAATTATTGTAGATGTTTCTAGGAAGGTATTTTTAGATTAGATTAACCCTTAAATCAGGAGACTTCTGAGTAAATTAGCCTTGTCACCTTAATAAAAATAGCCAATTAGCTTACAGGAAAATGAGTTTATTTGGAAATAGCAGAGGAATTGCAATTCAGGGCATGCAAACCATAGGCAAGTCCAGACAACAGAGGAGGAGGAGTGTTCTTTTATAGAGGAAAGAAGGAAGTTGAGAGGGGCAGTTTGGAGTGAAACTCCATTCCAAACAGAGCAAGAATTTGTGATTGTAGTGACTTCTCATTGGCTGAGCTGTGGTGGTTCTCATTGGCTGGGTTGCTGGGCAAAGAGAAAAACCTTTCCTTCTGCTGGGATGCAGAAAATTAGCTTTGAAGAGTGGTACCTCTGTGAGCATGCCACCTTCAGGACTTCCCAACTATATTTTGAAATGAGATTTTCCTTTATTCACTTCATACCCTCCATATTGTGAGTGGACCTCCTCCAATCAGTTGAAGTCCTTAATAGAAAAACACTGACCTCCCCAGAAGACGAGGGAATTCTGCCCAACAGACTGCCTTAGACTTCTCTGGGTCTCCAGCCTGCTGACCTAGTTTGCAGATTTTGGACTTGTGAACCTCCACAATCACGTAATCAAAAATTTAAAGATAACTCTCAGTCTCTCTCTCCACACACATTCTATTGTATCTGTTTCTCTGGAGAATCCTAATACAGTCCAAGACCAACATCTTCATTGGCCAACTCTACCACACATCTAAAGAAGAGTCAAAGGGGTACCTGGGTGGCTCAGTTGGTTAAACATCCTTGGCTCGGGGTCTTGGGATCAAGCCTTCAGTGGGGAGCTTGCTTCTCCCTCTCGTTCTGCCTCTCCCCTTCACTTGTTCTCTTTCTCAAATAAAATAAAAAATAATAAAAATAAAGAAGAGTTAACCCCAATCCTTTTCAAACTCTTCCAAAATAGGATGAAACACTTCCTAACACCTCCTATGAAGCCAACAATACCTGATGCTTATGCTATATAAAGATCTCACAAGAAAATTATTTATGTATGTGATGCAAAAATCCTCAACAAAATACTAGCAAACCAAATCCAATGGCTTAGTAAAAGAGTTATACACCATGCAAGTGAGATTTATCCTAAGAATGCAAGGATGGCTCAACAGAAGAAAATCAGTGTAATGCACTGCATTAATAGAACAGAGGAAAAAAACTCTACACGATTATTGATGCAGAAAAGGTATTTGACTAAACCCAACACACTTTCATGACAAAAACATTCTAAAAACTAGCAATAAAAGGGAACTTCTTCAGAGCACTTTAGGGAATTAATGAAAAACTCACATGTAGTATCACAATGGTGAAAGACTGGAAGCTTTCTCCTTAAAATTAGGAATGAGACAAGGATGTCTACTTTCACCTCAGCTGTTCAACACCGTACCAGAAATTCTAGCTGAAGCAACAGGACAAAAAGAAAGAAAGAAAAGAAAAGGCGTTCAAATTAGAAAGGAAGAATTTATTCACAGATGACGTGATTCGATGTATAGAAAATCCTGAAAGATCCACAGGAAAGCTGGGTCTGATAAATAGATTCAGCAAAGTTGCAGGCAGAAGATTAATACTCAAAAATCAGTTGCATTTCTACATACCTGCCAAGAAAAATCTGAAAAGGAAATTTAAGAAGCCATCACATGTGCAAACATCTAATAAATAAAATACCTAGGAATAAACTTACCCAAGGAGATGAAAGACTTCTACACTGAACATGGCAAAAGTCACAGAAGGACACAAATTGTATGATTCCACTTACATGAAGTATCAAGACTAGGTAAATTCATAGACACGGAAGGTAGAATAGTGGTTTCCAGGGGCCGTGGGGAGAGAGGACTGAGGACTTACTGCTTGATGTTATAGAATGTATCTTTGGGATGATAAAAGTTTTGATGGGGTGCCTGGGTGCTGCATTTGGTTAAGCATCCATCTGACTCTTGCTTTCGGCTCAGGTTGTAATCTCAGGGTAATGAGATTGAGCCCCTCATCAGGCTCCATTCTCAGCAGAGCCACCTTAGGATCCTCTCTTCTTCTCCCTCTGCCCCTCCCACTTGTGTACGTGCACTCTTTCCCCCCTCCCAAAATCTTTTTTTTAAGATTTTTTTAATTTATTGACAGCAAGCAGGGGGAGAGGGAGAAGCAGACTTCCCTCTGAGCAAGGAGCCCGATGCGGGGCTCGATCCCAGGACCCTGGGATCATGACCTGAGCGGAAGGCAGACACTTAATGACTGAGCCACACAGGCGCCCCTAAAATAAATCTTTTTTTTTAAAACATTTTGAAAATAGTGGTGATAGTTGGGAAATACTATGAATATAATGTAAATGAATTCTGTAATTTAAAATGGATGAAATGGCAGATTTTATGTGATATCCATTCAACCACAAGAAACATTTTTAAAAAGGAAGGATGCTCATGGATCAAAAGAACAAATATTGTTAAAATGTTTATGTTACCATAGAGCAATCTACACATTCAGTGCAATCCCTATCAAAATACCATCAACAATTTTCACAGAGCTGGAACAAATAATCCTAAAATTTGTATGGAACCAGAAAAGACCCTGAGTAGCCAGAGGAATGTTGAAAAAGAAAAGCAAAGCTGGGTGCCTGGGTGGCTCAGTTGGTTAAGCGACTGCCTTCGGCTCAGGTCATGATCCTGGAGTCCCGGGATCGAGTCCCACATCGGCCTCCCTGCTTGGC